ACAGAGTTCAGGGGGAAGCTTGCACAGCATCTGCTCATGCAATACCAGTGTAACTAGTCATTCAACTGTCAGAATAAAAATTCACCCTCCTCCCAACAGGAATTAAAAATTAAAATGAAAAGCAAGAAGTGAAGTGGTTGCTAGGCCTGACAATAGAGCTGCAAAGCCAAACCTCCATCCCTCTCCTTTGACAATTCAATAGCTCCCTCTTGGGGGAGCAGCAGCAGTGAAACGCTACCATTTACTAGCTTGGAACAAGAAGCCTCACAGGTCTTCCTAGGTGCAAATCAACAACTTCACTATGTAGCTGGGTCAGTGTGATAAGAATGGCTCCAAAAGGTTTTTGTGTGACAAAATGGACGGAGGGATAAGGTGGCTGTCCATCCTGCGGACATCAGCAGACGCTCTGGAAAGGTTGATCCATGAAAGCAATTGCCCAGATCCACCCAAAGTCCCAGCACAGAAACACCAGTCATGTGAAAACAGCTTTGCAAGGGACAGGAGAGAGGGCTAAACCCTTAAGTGCTTCAGTTTGGCAACATCAGCCCTGTGTGTGTTGAGGCTTAATGGACCACATGTGTCACTCACTGACTGTGTCTTCCACTTAACCAAACCATTCCCTTCCCTCCAAAAAAGCCCTCTAGGCCAGGCAGGCTAGTTACCAGCCAAGAAGCAGCCACACGACCTGAGGAGGTGCAGCAAAACACCCTGCAGCCACACTCCTATGGGCTGCTTAAACAAAGCAGCTGCAAGCTCGATCTGACACAGCTACACATGAGACTCACAGTTTGGCTTGCATGCCCCAATCCTTACGGCTCCTAATTCACAGTTCCCTTTCATTTGTGCTGCTCCGTCCCGATACATCATTCCTTCTGTCTCCGACCATGTGACAGCGACTGTCCCTCGACTCCATAACGCTTTTACTCTCCCGCTTGCTTTATTGCAGCTCCGTCGCTGTATCACTGTCTGACAGCCATGCACGAAATAACACTGTACAAATGAATTCTCTTGCACTGTGCTGTACTAGCATCTACAGAATACGGGTTCTTCCCTGCAGTGTGTCAGTGTTTGCCAAGCAACGTCAGGTAGGTAAAGCATTTTCATGACACTAGTACCCTCAGTTCCCAAACACATCCATGCAGAGAGAGAAAAGTGCATATGAGGGTGGGATATGTATCTGCCCAAGTGTGAACACACAGGACCTTAGCCAAAGGCTTACTTAGAAGACAAGGACACTCAAGCATTTTCCCACACCAAGACATTCCCCTGTTACACAAACCTTATTTAGCACTTGATTAACACACCAGCAAGGAATCCCCTTGCCCTAACCACAGCAAAGCCCTTCACTGTAGAGTGCTATACATGTAAATGTAGGCCTCAGTGTATGGCTAAAACTCTCCCAAAGTCCAAAGTCTTCAGTGTTACATGCTTTGTGCCAGAACACAGGGCCAGCCTTACACAAGGATGGTTGATTCTATCTCTATATTATATCTTTATATCTATTGAAAACATAGAAATATATAAATATATAGGATTTTATTTATAGATATATAAGCATGTGATTTTATTTTTTGTACTGTGTGTATATGTACTGGGATGTGCGTATATACAATATATAGACTGTATGCATATGTACTGTATACATACACTAGCTTACATGCACACACATCATACATGTCCCCAAGGGAGACAGGAATTGCATAGGCATTACTGCATTGAATACAATGGCCGGGGGAGCAACGTACCATTTCTCTGCTTTTAAGACCTCTTTTGACAGGGCTGAGAGGGGAATCTGGCAAAAGCAGAGGATGTTGCTGCTTATTTGCAAGCCAGCTGCTTAGGCTGTTTTATCCATTAGTCGAACAAACAGCAATACTAATGAGATAAGAAAGAAGGGGGACCCCAAAGACCTCACGGGCCACCTGGTTGCGTTTGTGCTGTGAGAAAGAAACAGACTGAGCCTGAATCATGTCTGAGAATTCGTATCAGCAAAAGTGCAAACAGCGCAGAGGATAATGCCAAGGTCAGTCCAAGACCCAACGCAGACAGCACACCGGGACCTTGCTCCCTGCGTATCCTTGCAACTCCCCTGTGCCTCCCTTGCACTTTTGCTGGCAAGGGAAGAGCTTTGGTCTCTCGTTCCATGAGGATTGTCCCTGTTGTGTTCAGTCTCGTGGCCAGGAGGTGTAGACTTCCTGCAGCCACTAGTGAGCCCTGTAGAAGGAAATATCTGCATGTGCTTAATGGATTTCTGCTTTACAGCAGGATAAAAGAGTCAAGGAGCCTGAGCGAAAAGTGGGCAGGAGAAATTGGCAATCAAAAAACCCACGGGCTAGAAATACAAATCCAAGGAGAACTGGAGAAGTGCATATTATTCACAGTCAGATGCCCTAGATAACAAGAGAGGGAAAGAAGCGGAGGAAGAGCTCATTTAAGAAAAATTAAACCATTCTATATTCGCCACTGAAGCAGTTCAGGATGCTGTGATACGTTCCAAACAATCTCCTCTTGGCTCAGAGCAGCAGGGAGGGAACTGATTAAACCTGAGCCGCAGCAATCTCCCACCTTGAAGGGCCTCCCTGTGCTCTGGCCCCAGGCGCCCCCCCAGGAGCTGGGCGAGCGCCCATGCCGCGGCGGCCGTGCCCACGCTGCACCCACCAGCCTGTGCCGAGAGCCAGCCCCCACTGCCCTCTGGCCTTGCCGCAGCCTGGCCGGTCCCCTGTCCTCCTCAGAGACTGGCTACTTCGATTTGCAAAAAAGGACACTGAAATGCACCTGCTTTCAGAAAAGCCTCGCTAAGCAGGGTGCTAAAAAGCCAAGGGCGCTTTGCATTGTCATTCCTCCCTCCTGACAATCTCACTCATGCCTGTAGTCACGTTTCGATCCACAGGACTATCCGTGTGAGTAACAGCTACAGATCTGAGATAGGCGGGTAACCTAGAGGGAAAGCTTCCAAAGCACCTGCGTTTGTCTTGCACAAAGGCCTGATTTATTTTTTGATGTGAAGGCAATGAGGATTTCTTTGTGTTGCGCGACTCTGGCTGGGCTGGCTGTTACACTGAGTGCTCATTTCCGCTCATAACCAAGGACAAGGAATCTCTGCCCTTTCCAGTTCACAGGTATCAGCAACATCTAGTCAGAGGGAATCATTCTTCCTACTGACACTGTTTCACAGATGCATAGGAGGTTTTTGCAAGAGAAACAAACGCTTTCCCTTTTTTGCAGACTGCCTGGAGAAAAACCATGCTCTGCACGTTTCACTGCTGTTAGGAGTAAGAGCACTCAGGGAAAGATGGGCCTGACAATACGGGGATTTGCAAACAAACAAAAGGAAAAGGGGGACCCAATTACAGGAATCGTTACTGAACAAGTCTCTGGCAGCTTTCACGTTGCCAACAAGGGCAACCAGTGGCAAAAGTAAAGATCAGAACAGAAGCTGTAAACAGGCCTTTTAGGTGGCCTTAACACAAACACTAGGGAAACGCTTCTGTTTACAAAGGTATCTGGAAACTGTCCACAAGTGTCCCTTTCCAGCAAGAGGTCCAGGCAGTTGGATGGGCCTCTATGAAAAACAGCCATATACCGAGGAACTTTTATTGCTGCAAACTGAAGGGTAGATTTGTTTTTTTTTTCATGAAAGGCGTTACGGAGCTGAGCAAAGGAAAAAAAAAAAGGGGGAGGAGGGGAACTGTCTTTACAGGTTCTTTGACACCCACAGTAGCTCACTTCAGATAACTTCTTTTGTTATTTTTGTTTCTGCTGCTGCAGTTTCCCAGACACCTGTGCATACCTAAAAAAGGAGACTCTCTACCATCTGCCCATTGCCCTCTGGTGGGTGGATTCATTTCTTGTCTCCAACATCAAAGTTTACCTAGGCCATCTCCAAATTAGAGCTTAATGGAACAGCAATACTTTTACAGGGACTATCTTTTTTTTTTCTTTATGTCTCCTCAAATTTTAATTAAGGAAGGGGCCTCCCAGCTCCCCTGAAGGAAACAGATCTGTGAGCTTTAGACAGCACCATGAACAAGGTTTACTCTCCAGGCCTGAGGGGCTACAGACACCTCATGTACAGACATTCCTCTTTTGTGGTCAAAGAAAGAACTGCCCAAGTCTGTGCAGTGGCAGAGGGTATCCAGTTTCATTCTTACGTCTCTGGATGAATGGGTCAATTTGCTCACATAATTTATTGGGAAAGAAAGGGAAAAAAAACACACATTTTTTGCTTGCTAGGTGTTACATACTGCGATGCCTGCGCAAACGTGCAGCAACGTCCTGACTTAATTCACAATGTTTCTATGAGGACGCCAGAGAGAACTGCTCGGGCACCTGGGTCTTCGCCCCGCAGCGCAGACGCACCCACACTGTCACCTAGCAGACCTGCTCTCTCAGGTCTGAACAAGCACACAGTCTGAATATACCATCTGAGGCGAGGCAGAGGGAAAAGGGATTAAGTGCTTTTGACTGTATCCCATCTGCCCAGCTAACGCTGCAACCTTTGGAGAGTCTTCTCTACCCCTTTCAAACTGCCCAGCGAAACAGCCCTGTTTTACAGCAAAAGGGGCAGAGTCAGGACAAAGAACACACAGATTCATCTTTACTAGTGCTTCAGACAGTCTCAATCTCTCCTCACCAGAGCAATAGAGGGGAAACATTTCCAAAACTCTGACATATACCAGTCTAGCCATTTCCACGGGTTTAAAAGCTGAAAAAGTATGTAGTGGCGTAGTTGCACATCTCTGCCTGATATTAACTGTACTGTTCTGCTTAGGCAAGCTGGTTAGTGGGAGGTGAGTGAGATTTAGGTAGAAGTGCGTGTTTTCTCGGGGAAGACAGTGCGTGAACCCTGGCAGTGAAAGTGACTCTGAGAGAGATCGGTTCCAAACATGCTACATCTCCATTGAAAACAAACAAAAAAGTTTAAAAAATAAAATAATATTATATATATATATATATATATATATTTATATCTATGAAAAGCTATCAACTAGCAGCAACGGTTCTAGAGATATCTTAGCACCAAGACCAAGGGCAGGGGGGTAACAGGAGAAAGGAAAGGTTCAGTGTTGCTGATACCACCGTCATGTTTCCATACAACACAGCTTGGCACAAAGCTCATCCCTCTGGGAAGTGCGAACATGTCAGCTCAGACACCTTTTGGACAACAGGTTCTCACTCCCATGATGTTCTGGTCAGGTTGGTGCTGTCCATGCCACATCAGCAGGGCAAGGCACTAGCATCTGTGGAGTTTTTGCACCTTTTTTTTTTTTTTTTGCTTTTCTAACCTGAAGTGATATTGTGTGAATGCATGGAGCTCTTTTACTTTAAAAGAATAAATCAAAGAAGAACCCCAGGCCCTCAAAACAATCTCCTTTGTGATGGAAGGTGCAAGTCCCCCATTCACATTTCAGCTGGACTCTGCATTCCTTCAAGGAAGGAAGATACATTTCACAGGAAAAAGTACAGCACCCTTCTTCCTGTTGTCATCAGTCTGCTGTGCTGTGGAACATGTTACCTTGGTCACAAGAGAATACATGAACCTTTATAGGACATCATCACATGATTATAATCCAAGATAGATCTTGCATTGATAGCCCCTGCTACCAACTGCAGCAGGTTTTTCTTTCACTCATTCCAAAAACAAAACAAAACAAAACAAAAAACCCACAACAATCTAGGATTATAAAGACAGAGTATAAATAATGTAAATCAGAATATAATTTTTTAAGCCTTTGAATCTCTGCCCAGAGATGGCTATTGACTCATTGGCTGTCTAGCTTCCACAGCAGCCCTGGTTTTGAATGAATAGTTGTATATATATATTTTTTATCTCCTACAATACAAAAATATAAATGCAAAAATTTCCCCCTGCCTTCTCTATTTTGCTATTTTATAGTCTGCATATGACATCATGTTATAATATAGGTATGATAGACTGGTACTATGGTAATCATAAAAGGAGCTGAAAGCCAAGCATTACTCTACAGCCCAAAAGTAGGGAGAACTGAGAAAGGGGCATCACAGTTTAGTGGAGATATTTGTTTTTAAATCAGGAAAAACAAAATAACCTTCCCCAGTTTTTCCTCCTCCTCCCAATAATCTTTGTGAGCGAAGAAAACTTCTACTCTAACAAAGAGAATTACGGGGAGTTGGAGAGCTGGGGACAACACAAACACATGGGATGCTCTGTCGGAAATCAGAAATCTGACGGTGGCCAACAAATGGCTCAAATGGCTCAATAACTGGACTAAACAATGAAAAGAGAGGCAGAGATTACAACTGAGGAAAAAAAAAACCCAACACACAACCCAACAAAGCAACAACACACATACAAAGGAAACCGTTGGGAGGAGGAGGCTGACAAAGACCAGTCATCTAGCTTATAGATTGTTAGGGCTGAACATGTAGAGTATGGCCCCAGCACATAGCTTCTGAAGAATGAAATGTTGCCACCTACACTGCAGCTGCCATGGTTGGAGACACCAGTAAATTTTTAAACATTGTCTCAATCTTTAAAATTCTGCTTAGCTTCTATCAGACGCACATCGCCTTAACTTTTAAATTTTCAGTGTGGGTTTTTCCTTAATATATATATAATATATATATTTTTATAATATATCAAAGTTTAGAGTATAGATTAAAAAAATTATTCAACAGCTTTCTGATCTGAGGCATTCCTTCCTAAATATCGGGGTAAAATTCAGAGCCGTGGTCCATGCTCTGCAGCATCGGCTTCTGATCAAGAGACGACATCCTGCTCAGCATTTCAGCTGACAGTGCATAACTATTGCCCGACTTTTCTTCAAACCAACTATCTAGTGCCCTTTTGCAATCAAAGTTGGCAATGGGAGGCCCATTAACGGCAATTGTCAAAAGATCACTGAGCTGCTCCAGCGTGAGCCGAGAGCGGTTGTTTTTGCGCACTCTCTGCAAGGCATTGCGCCCCTTCTCACAGCAGGCCGATGAGGTGGGAAGGACTTTGAGGATCTGAACTATTTTATTTAAGAGGGGAAATCTCTGTTTGTATTTACAAATGTGACTGAGTAAGTCTTTAAAACCATTTTTGGTATAATAATCCACCTTGAGTTCTCGCCACTCCATCAGCAAACTCCCTCGGGTGTCCATCCCCTCTCTGCAAACCTCTCTGGAAAACGATGGGACTGTCTCCAAGTGTTCAAATATTTGTACCATATCCTCCTTCCCATAGCTCATGAGCTCATCAGTGCTTCTGGGCCAAGCTGCAAGGTCAAATACCTGACAGGCTTTCACAAATGTCCGGCTACGAGAATCAAACCTTTGGGCTAGGATCACCTGGGTCTTCTGGCAGATCTTTTCTCTGATCGACTGGAATTTGGCTTCAGCCACCCGTAGGTTTTTCACAGCAATGCCATTAAAGCTTTCACGGAAGTTTTCCTCAAATTCCTGCAAGTACTCCCCAGGCGAGTCTGCCAGTCGACTAATCTCCTGGATAGCCTCCTCTATTTTATCGTCCACTTGCGACACAAGAAGGTACTCCCCTTGGAAGACATAGGCAAGGCGTGAAAGCACAGCTATCACATCCAGCAAGAAGTAGATGAGTTTAATTGACTGGTAGTCCATCAAGAACTGCAGGAGGGCCAACGCAATTGCGGAAGCGTCTGCCCTTTGGGTTTGGCCGCTGACATCTTTGAGATGGGCCACAACCTCAAGGTAATCCTTGATCAGAGCATTGAGCACATTCTGCTCCCCAATGATCCACTTCACTGCTCGGATGTCTCCCAAGAACTCGGTCTCTTCGCACAGAGTGGCCGCAGTGACCCTCAACTCACACATGAGTCGGGGAGAGTAACGATAGAAACTGAGCAATTGCTTCAAATTGTTTTCTAGCTCCTCCAGGCACGGAAGCTCTTTCCCGCTAATTGCATCCAAAATTTCCAAATGGGGCCTGTGTACCATAAAGGGCAAGCAGAGTAGCCACGGCAAAGTCTTTCTGATTGTCATGAACAAGTTAGCTCTCAGGCTGGCAGTAATGTTAGCACCATCAACTCCCAAGCCAATAGTTGGCTTCTCATCCTGCAATCGTATTCCCAGGCTGGAAAAAGCCCTGTCTAATGCTTGGAGGTAACTGTCTGTTGTAGAAAAGCCTAGTTCTTGAAGAGACAGGAATTCAGTTGCCGGAGGCCCATCACTGCTCGTGTACTGTACATAAACTGCAACTGTGTCTGCCAGCAAGTCATCGCTCTGCCCGTCCAGAATGATGCTGAGGAAGGGAGACTGTCGGATCCGTTCTACCAGGTCCTCTCGAAGAGCCCGGGCAATATGGTGAATTAAGATTTGGCAGTCTCCTTCGTTCATGTACTGATCGACCACCTTGAGCTCGCACTTTCTCAGTAGTTCTGCCAGTGGCCGAAAGTCATAGTAGGGCCTGCCTTCCAAAGCCAAGTGGTAGGCTGTATTGAAGAGCAGGGTCATATTTCGGCACATCTCTTCTGTCTTCTCTGGATGCATCCTGAGCTTGTAAAGCTGCAGGCACTTCTTGTGGAGGTTGCTCTGGCTGTGAAGCTTTATTGTGTGTATCTTGAACTGCTTTGAGCCAATGATGAAGGCTGAAGTCCGAGAGGATTGCACTGTGTACTGCCTGCAGACATGGCACCACATTTCATTCAACGTCGGGGAGTACCGCAGAAACCAAAACTTTTTAAGCCACTCTTGCTTGAAACGCCGTATCCTCCGACCAGTTGCAGAAGACATCTTGGAAGGCTCGTCTGTAGCAGCAATCATATCATTGGAAACTGATTCATCAGCAGAATCCACCTCTTGGTCATCGTCCTCCATGATAGTGGGAACAGAGATGATGCTTTCTGAAACTGCAGAAAGAAAACAGAAGAAGGAGGAAAAAATATGATATTTACAAAGTTGCTGAGCTTGAGAAGCACCCTACTGCTGACAGTAAAACACCACCTGATCAACTGGCCATTCTCTGCTTTCTCCTTGGAGGAAAATAAATCAATGTTTCTGCTTCTGAACTTTGTCTCCAACATGACACGCTGTACAGCAAGAAATGGTATTACATCCTAGCTACTTTCACAATATATGGGGTGACCCAAATATTCCTTTGGTGGAGATTACTGACTGCTCGACAGCACATTCCTGGAAGAAATGAAATGTATCTTCAGAAACGGACACATGTTTGTGGGGAGGCAGTGGAGTAAATAGAGAGTGCTTTCCAACAAGGGTCACAGCAGGACATCATTTCATACAGAAAGAGTGCACATTTCATTGTTACCACAGAGTCATTCAGACTTTCAAGCAAAGCTTCTTGGTGGCATGTAAGGCACCATGGAGGGGTTTCCGCTGAAAGAGAATGCATCAAAAATACAGCAAACAAACTGTCTGCAATGGAATGTCTTTTTTATTGGCACTGCATTATTGATTACAATGGAAACAAATAGAGCAAGTTGTCATTACAGAGTCTTTCCCAGACAATGTCTTCCACCGTGCCAACAGCATCAGCTCCTGACCCACCCGTTCACAAAACCTCGCCATGAACCCTCCACAGAACCAAGTGTTCACCTGAATATTCAGAGCAAAACGTTTTAGATGGGCACACAGCACACAGGCATCTCACTACTTTCCTTAGGCAGGGTTTGGAGAATGTTCTTACTTGGCAAGGCTTACCTGTGGGGTCAGAGAACTCTTGGAGCTCGGGTACCTGAGGCGGTAGCACGGGTGGCTCAGGTAACTTCCCAGATCTCAGCATGTCTAACTCAGCCTGCAACTCCCGGATCTTCTTCTTCAGCCGGATGCAATTGGGGCAGAAGGAGGTGGTGGGGATTTCATGGGAGTTGCCTTGAGCAGAGGCCAGCAACAGCTCAGTCGGGCTGTCTGCTTTGAGTGACAGAGGCTCTTCTTCGTCATCTTCAAGAAGCCCCATCTCTTTGGCCGTGCTAAAAGAGGAACCGTGGGGGCCCTTCCATTCCCCCTCACTCCGGTCTCTGCTGAGGTTCAGGGAGCCATGTTGCATGGCACTGCCGCAGCTCTCAAAGATGTCTTCAGCCTGGTATTTAGATGCTTTTCTGATGGAAATGGGTGTACTTGTTGCTAACTGGTTCTCTTCCAACTTGGCAGATTCTAAGGAAGCCTCTAGGACATCTTTGAAGATGAGGTCAATTTTTTTTTTCTTTGTTTGGGGGTGGTATTCCCCCTCATCACAGCTGCGCTTGTAAGGGCTCTTCCCTTGCTTTAGTGTGGTCAGCTGGAGTGGCCCCCGCATGTCCTCTTGATTTTCCATGTTCTTTTCTGACTTCTCCCTCTGTAACTTTTTGTCCCCTAGAAAGGAAAATGAGGGGTGGGGATTATCACTGGGATCCAACCAACATTCCTCAATCTAAAACTCAAATGAAAAAAGAATAAAAAGGCAAGCTGAAGCCCTGCAGGTTTGTTCATTGCATTACAAACCAGGGAACTGACACAACTCAAGCCAAGGAAACCAAGGCTTGCGAGAGGAAGGGCCTCTGCAAAAACAGAGACAGTCCTAGGTAGCCACAGAGCAGTAGGACCCCCACACCTTAAAGAGAAGAGAAACTACAGGCAGCTTGTTTAACCTATGAGGTGTAACCAACCTGCGCTGAAAGGAGACTACAAGGTGAATGACTGATCACAGTGGAACCTAACACCCAGAGCCCAAATGCCGGTTTGGCTGGCTGGAAGACTCGTGCCTGTTTTGACTTGGTAAAAGGTATCAGGTGTACAGTAGGTGCAGTGAGAGATTCAGACTGTTTCATGAGAACCCCAGTGTCTGTGCACGCCACAGCACAATGTTTGCAAGCCCTTTCACTCCATTTCAGTTTGGAGGCTGCTCCAGAAATGCAGAGGCAAAGGAGTAAAAATAACTTGTACTCTTAAACCCCAAGGTATGCATTACCAACTGAGCTAGAACGGGTGAATGACCTTCAAGGATGGGACATCTAGATTGTCCTGGTGGAGTCTAAGAGCATGGCTGCTATTCAGTGATAAAAATAAATTAAAAAAAAGTAACTTCATACAAGTTATTAACTGCTTAAAATAAAGGGAATAGCCAGTTTTCCTTACCTGGAAATTCAAAAGACGAAAGGTTTGGCTCAATTTCCATCTTTCTTCTATCTTGTAAATAACTTCAAGCATTGATGGCTTCCCAAACAAGACGTTGCTTTATGCTGATTTTTTGGTTTTGTTTGCTTTTAAAGTGTATTCATGCTTTCATAAGAGTAACAGGGTAAAAGCTACCATTGCTCTCTCTAAGGAGAGCAATGCTAAGAATACAGAAAAGATGCAAGACTCAAAACAGTTAGAGTATGGCACCATAAAAAGGGCTGGCCTGGCTGGCAAGGGTTTTGTGGCAGGTTCTGATACTGGCTCTTAACTCCAATTACTTCTTGAATGAATCAGAAACAACAGACCTGGTTTTCAACACATTCTGTCAGAGTATCTCTAAAGGCAGAGCTTTGAGTTTCTGCCCTAAAGTTCTCCCTGTTATGAACTATTACAGCCATTGGCAGAGGAAGGGATTTATAGGATGGATCCTCCTTCTTTCTATGTGGTTTTTTTCCCCAACTGAATGGTTCAGACCTTTGAAAAAGGCAGAAATCACAAGAGGACCCCTCATATTATTGGTCTCAACTCCATTGATGAGGTGGGGCAGCAACTACTAATAGAAACAAGACCCAGGAACTATGTTCCTTTTTTATGACTTAAAAATGTGCCATTTCAGTTAAGAGATTTTTGCAGGGAATTGGAAATCTTTTAAACATAAAGTTCCTCAACAGGTTTTTATTATTTTCCCTGATCGCCTCCCAGTGCCATCCAGCTGATGCTGAGATGTCTGGGAAGTCAAACAATGTGCCTGCGCTCCTTTTGTGAATGTGTGAATGCAGCCCTGAGGCCAGTGCAGTGTGGGATGAGCTCAATGGCATGTGAGGGGGCTTCTAGGATGGTCTCCAGAGCCACCTGGGTTTCTACCTGACTGCGTGGAAGGGTATGCAGGGTCCTGAGGAGCCCAGAGGCAGATCTTCACAACACTCGTACCACAGAGCCGGCTGCAAGTTATTATTTCAGTTCACACAAACCATGACACTGAATACAAGTCTGTATGCCAGGGCAATTGCTCTCAGCCTTGGTACCTTTCCAGACCAACACTGGCACCGCACGTGCTCCGATGGCATACACTTTCTCCTGCAGTACTTTCTAAAAAGTACTAAGCTATCTGGACAACTAATTTGTATGTGGGATGCAGTAAAATCAGTGCAGCATGTATCTAATCATCCAATGATTAATAAAATCATTAATATAAAAACGCACATTCATACCAGTGTTAATTCAGAAGTGGGCATTGCCCAAGTATAGCCATCAAGATGTAACGCTCCAAGTGCATAAGAACTCCGAGGTGATGGAGAACGACCAACTCTTTCAGGACATTTTGTCCACCCCATGTTTAAAGAGGAGACACCTTTTACCAAGTCAAGGCAGCAACAGCAGCTGTGCAGTAATATACATGGGAATCTTAATTAGAAAGTTATATTTAGCGTGGCTGCCCCTCTGAGGCCTTGCCATTCTGTGGCTAGGCCTGAAAAGAAATGCCCTTAATTCCCTTCAGGTCTCAGCATTGTACAGATGAATAGATGCATTAAGATTTTTTGCCTTCCTCTAAAGCTTCCTGTATTGCTGACATTACACTGACCTAAAGGATCACTGGATTTGTTCCAGCATGACTATTGTTAAGATAAGATAACAATTTTTATCCAGGCAAGAATCAGTCTGACAAGTACAAAGCTTCCTGTATGTTGTACAAGCACTCTAAGGTTGTGAGACTAAGGAGTCTCTAGCTGATGTCGCGCTGATCCCAAATTATCTCTCTGAAGAAAGAGGAGATAAATTAAGCCAGGAAAATGGACATACAAACACACCAAGGAAATCTCACCTTCACACGCACACAAAACCAGCCAGACCTCCCTCAAACAGGCTGCTCACAGGAGCCAGAGGGAGCAGCACATTCAAAAGAAAAATCTAATGGCTGTCTGCAGGACCACCAACTCAGCAATCTTCAGACCAGAAAGTCTTGTGGCAGGGGATCTCTGAGATTCCTGGCCTTTTTCTCAGGCCCTAATAGCAAGCACACAGCACAATACAACACAACACAGATCTTTCGTGATCTTTATGATCGCGGTTATATTACTCTTCTTATACACCCAACCATCCAAGCCACACAGAGCTGAAGGCTTTCACCCTAATGGGCTTTGCTTCTAGAAGGGCAGGTCTCCTTGCACAGCCTGTACATTACCAATTTCACCCAATGCACTTGGTGCAAGAAGCATGGTAATCAGAAGGGATTAGGGGAGAGGGTGGAAAGGGATGAAGGAAACGGAGGGACTCACCTCTTGTGAGATTTCTGTTGATGGTCTCCTGGGACATACTATGCAACCGCTTCATGTAATCCTCACTGTACCAGACCCTCAGCTTCTCGCCAGGCCGGATGTCGCGACAGGCACGGAAGTAAATCCTCTCACTGTGCTGAAAGGCCATCAGGTTCTGCTCCCTCTCCTCTCGGGAGATGATCACATACCTGAGGGTGAGGTGACAAGGCAGGCGTGAAGCACAAACTTCTCTCCCGTGCACCCTTTGCGTCAGAACTACAACCACGATCAAGCCAGAATGACCTTCGAAAGGGCCACAGACACAGCAAGGTTGGATAGCATGGAATTACAAATAATGATATGCAAACTGCTAGAGATACAGGACGATGAACATGAACACCTAAAGAATAATAAACCGCTGGGTCCATTTCTGCTGTGGAAGGGAGGTACGTCTGATGGTTACCACTACAACAACATATATCCAACCTGAGGGAGCATCTCTGCCAGTAATGGTGACGCAGACTTTCACCAGAGATTTCTTTGCCTAACAATGGAAACAAGGAGTTCTGGATTCCTCACTATCATTTTACATCCTGGGGTCACCCTTGTTCCCAGAAACATCCTGAATATGACAGGGACCCTTTGCCAGCCTGTCTCCAAACACCATTTTCCTTCATAGTAGAAACAAGATTTCCTTGCTTCCTCTCCTCTTGGATAAGCAGAATAATAGATGTTCAAAGGAGAGAAACACAGGCAAGTAACATGCACAGGGGAATTAGGTGGTAGTCCAAAAGGAAACCAAGGATGTGCCAGTATTCACAGATTTTGCACTTGGACATCCAGTGGAGTCTGACAAAAAAATACAAACAGTCCTGCAAATCTAGGGAAACCTTAACTGCCTGAAAATCCAGCACTGCATAGTGGGAATCTCCTGGCAATTCTGACAGAAAGATCATTATCTGAGCATGGGATTTGTTTTTCTGCTACGAAACAGCTAAATTTCAGCTCAGCAGAAACATTAATTCACCACTTCCATCAACTGGCCCTCTGTGCGACTTGATAATATAGAGATCTATGGGAAGGATCATATTATTCATCCTTATACTCCTTGTTTTCTTGTTAGAAGAAATGAAAAAGGCATAATAATAATGGTTCTAGCTGCTGCCGTACGTGATCTTGTAACAACTGCCCAGGATTAGGAGACCCCACGCACGGCACGTACCTAGCTGAGAGCAGATCCGAACTGTTTACAGACAAAACTCTTTTCGTCTCTTACACCATTTGCCTATGTTATTTAGTGCTCCCTATCACAGTCACATTATCAAAGGTGAGCAACCTGTGCCTTCTTTGACATCTGTTGCTACTAGTCCAAATGTTCCTTGTAATTCAGCTATTTCTTTGGATTGATAAATCCATCATTTTTTTCTTTGAATGCTCTCTCCTTCTTTGGCCCATATGTGCACACAAAGACACAAGTCCACATGCACAGGATCACACAAACCCCCTCGTAAGGTCACAAACTCAGTCAAACTTTCCACAAAACACAGAAAACAAGTCTACAGCGTCTCAGATTGCCTGAGGCTCCAGCAATTCTGGTTTTAATGTAAAGCAGCTGTGCATTTACCTGTAATCAGCTGTGTTTTTCACGTGTGTTACCCAGGATACTATGGTCTTCAGTAATTATTTAAACAGTAGGCTCTGACGCTGATTGCCAAAATAAGCCAAATACTGTCTTTTGTTAACCTTTATTTTATGGTTTTTGGATCACAAAACAAAGGGACTTTTAAACCACCTGTTTGTATGTTTGAGGGGGAACACAGGCCCAGATCAATGCAGTGGGAAGGCGATCGTGGAACAGCACCATAGCTGGTGCAGCCAGGATGTCACTTCTCCGTGTTACTAATCACTCCACAAAAGGTGTGTGAGGCATTCAGCCAGCCATGCCACAGTACCCTTGAGATACACCCATTTGCTCTAGTCAGTTTGATGGTCTGCAGCACAGGTGATCCTAGAAGGTGCTCACCCCAGTACAAGCAAAATGCCAGGATGCTTTCTAATGACAATTAAGGAGGTCCTGTGGCTGCTCCGCATCTACCTGCCCAGACATCACATCAGTGAGAGCAGTGACAAGATCAGGCTGCCCCTGCAAATGAGCACAGTTACCTTCAGAGAGGCTATCAGCCTCAAGTCACTCACAGTTCTTTAGTAAAACACACCAGATACAAAGCCAGTAGCTTTGAAGAATTTATAGGGTAGTGGCTAGCAACACAGGACAATCTGATACAGCAACTGCATTTGACAATGAGATTTAGAAAATTCTGTCAAGCACTTTTGCACGGGGAGGCAGGAGACACCAGGATTCATTTTTATCCTTAAGTATTTTATTAAGTATTAACCTGCTTTGCCTGTTCATTCTCATCGTGCCTCTAAATCCCTCAAAGCTTCTGCCTATGAGACTGGAAACTTCTTGGTTTTGTCCTTCAGCTTTGCTGCCTCCAACTCCCACTGCCTTACGACACAGCAGTGAGCTAGAAGGAAAAGAGCAGGCTGGAGAAAGAACTGCAGTACTGCTGCATCCCTGCAGCACACCACTGATTTGTGTGGATCAATCTATTGTCCAACAGTGACGAGTGCTGGAAATTTCACCAGGAGGTATTAAGAAAGCCTTTAACAGACAGCTATGGCATAATCCAGTCATAAACACATTTCTTCACAGCTGCTGGCAGTTAGTAATTGGTTTACCTTCTGAAAGAGGAAGCTTTAGATCTGTGATATTCTCCCTAGGTAACCTAAATGTGGATGAGATCATCCACATGAATGAATTGCTTTCAAATCAATGCTGCCAAGCTCCTGGCTTTAGTGACCCCACAGGCACTAATTAGATGGGTTACGAAGGACAGCATAAAATCCAAATTTCACTTGTCAGTCTAAGACATTCACTGCCACTGAATATCACAGATTTGAGGTAGGAACTTTCCCTAAGACAGAGGGAGTCATTCCAAAAAACAGCAGCCTGCTCAGCTAGGAAGGGACACAAACTGCCTGGTGAGGAGAGGAGAGACTACACGATTCTGCCTTTACTGACACATCTTCCCAAGGCCAAAACTCTCATGTCCTGAAACACCCTTCCTGCTGACACTGGAAAGTGCCTAGCCTCCCTCCGGATGCAAAACCTGAAACCCCCTCCTGGCTGACACTGGAAAGTGCCTAGCCTCCCTCCGGATGCAAAACACAAACTAACTTGATGCAAGAAGATTGTCTTGATTTAGACACCCTGAAGAGACATGGCTATACTGCCACAAGCACTGCACGGAGATGGGGCCTCACGCCCCACTTCCATAGCAAGTTTCCCAAGGGACTGACAATCCCCAGAGAAGGAGTGGGGGTGAGGAAGGCTATTCGGGCAGACCCAGCCACCTGGAATCGCTCTCATTCTCGGAGAGAGGTGCTGGCTGATCCCTGCCATGAACTACAAATAAGTCACTTCATTTCTCATTAGGGAGAGACCTGCCACCCACCTCATTTCCTGCAATGGGCCAGCCAAGGCACGGACTCAGGCAAGGCTCAAGACCAGCGCAGACTTTTCCCAGCGTATTCAGGACCAGCTAACATGACATTCCCAGCACCAAAGGAGAGTAATGAGCCCTGCTGCCATGCAGGATCCGTCCCTGGGCTGGCACCTTCTCCACAGCATTTCCAGCTAGCAGCTCCCACTGTCCTAGCCTCCCTTCTTTCTAAGCCACAGCTTGCCTGGGACACCAAATGGCCAAGTTTTGGGATAGTTTAGTGAGCATGCTCAGAAAACACCTAAGTATTTGTTGGCATCCGGGGCCCATTCTTCCCAAGCCTCAGCAGCAAGGGCAGCCAGAGGGAAACTGGGGCAGCCAGAAGAGACCATGGGAAGGAACAAGGGCAGCGAGAGGCTCAGTCCTCTGTTCCCTCTCCCCAGTATTTGCCCCACTCCGTTCACCTCCCAGCCAGCCCCCGCTTGCTCATCCCCTTCGGCCACCTCTGTCGGTGCCTCTGCCGACATCCAGCCAGTGCAGAGCGCCATGGGGAAATGGCCATTGGCCTTTCCAAAGTCACGGCCAGTTGCAAACCCAGGGCAGGAGATCCAGTGGAAGAGAGTTGCTACCAGCCTGGACATACGCACTGAGGGTGAAAATTTGCAAATATGCCACCTCAGCTCTTTAACCCTTAGCACTCTGGAGGAGACTGAGCATCTGTGACGGATACGATCTTGTTACAGGTTCAGGCAAAAAATTATGAGAGAAACAAATGACTCAACAGCAGCTGTGATAAAAGTGTTATATATTTATTGTAATCTTAACAAAAATATTTTTGAAGAGAGAATTTTTCAGCATATACAAGATACGGAAATCCTGGGGTTAAGCACAGCAGTTTGCTTTGACATGGGCCACTTACTTCAATAATCAGTTAACGTGATGTGTTCAGGACAATATATCCTTTGCGAGTCAGCAGAGAAAAGCCACTTCACCAAGGAATCTACAGAGGGCAGGAAATCTGGCCCCATATTTGGGCCAATCTGTTATATTCTACAGAGGAAAGCTGGGGAGACATCAGTCAGTTTATAATACATGGTCCTTTCTCCTAAGCACAATATTTGAGGAGTTTCTCTTTAAGGCTGCAGGCTGTTTTCCTGCTGCCAGGAAAACAGGGTTCAATCCCTAAGCGCATCTATGCACACAAACTGATGGCAGATATGATCCTAATACTCTTCCTAGCTCCCAGCAGTGCTTAGCATCTGCAGGAGTCTCCTGCTGTGCAGATCGGAGGGTTCCTGGAGGGAAGGATCCCCCACAGCAAAGGAGCTAATCTCATCAGAATATGAACGGGAGAACATCAGCATGGACCTAATACTATAAAAATGTAAAATACTACTTCTAATACATAGCAGCAGCACTTGTATTGACTCAGAAAGCCTTTAGAACATGTCACCATTTTTCAGTTCTCTGCAAATATTATTAGATCCACTTCTATCAGATTTCTCTATCTTCCCTTCAATTTAAAAGAGGATAGACTGTAACTTTTGCAGAATACAAATGCTACAAATAAAAGTAAAACCACATTCTCACAGAAAGGTAAGTGAATCCTGCTCTGGTCTGGCACTGGCACCATAAGAAAGTTCCTCTGTGTGAAACCAAAGCAGTCATTCTTCATAAGAAAGGAGTTTTTTTCCTCTTTACCA